CGTATTAATATTCGTCGTCTACTTGGATATCTGATTTTTGCAGGTTAGTGACTAAAGGCTTATTAAACGTGCACAAGCTTGTGTACTACTACAAAGTGCTGCAGTCAGGTGAAATTTTGAAAATGAAATGTGTTCAAAATGGTATCGGGGCACTTCTGAACAAGGCAAGTGATGCAAGAAGGAGTTGTTGGCAAGAATATATCTGTTACCTTACCAACAGATGTTTATCATTTCATATATATTCTCACCTGTCCTTTGCTGGGCTTGTGGGAAGTGAAATGACTTTTTTTTTTTTTTTTTTTTTTTGTAAGCTTTACTGTAAAGGGGAGGAGGGAACAATATGATAAAAAGGTTTCAACGTAGTCCACCTTGACCCTCAGTCACTTAATTCAAAGAAGTTATCTTTTGATCCCTTCAGAAACCAACTTTCTTACTGTGTCTCTAAATAGACCTCCACAGCTTCCAAGAGAAATCTGGTTCCAGATAACTTTCTCGTTTTGACAATTGCTAACTAGCTTTAGAGAACCTGATGAGTAGGTAGGATGTGAAATGAGCTGAAAGCAATGCTCACTTTGTCCATGGCAATAGCTAAAGTATTAGTTGGAGCATTTTCAGCAAAGAGTAATGCCTCCCCTTCCTTGATTACATCCCACAGATTGTCCAAGAGTGAAACATAATACATTCCAGTAACAGTTTTCCAGAGAATGTTCACCCCAAAAAAATGGATGCGATCACCTTGCCAGTGGATGGGGCCACCACCTCCATCTTTGAAGAGTTGTGCAGTTTGCATAGACTGTTTACACTTTGAGTTTGGCCCTTTGTCTTATCCATAGTTCTAAATTATGCATCCAAAGCATCAGGGTTAGTTTAAAATTTGCTTTGACAATATTACTTTATTACTTTGATGTTTCTGATCAGTGGTGAACGATCTGAGGTTGTGCTGAACTCTGTCCTAGGATATCTGCAAAGTTTCAGCTATTGCTATTGTCCACACATAATGCTTTTTGTCTTTGGTTTCATTGGTTGCCAAAATGTGCCTTTTGTCCATAGTAGAGCTAATTTTCAGGCTTCTTTGTCACACTTGAATTTGGCCACCTACTTTTTAAATGTAACATGTTAAATGAATTGACTTCTGTCCCCACAGTGGCCTCTGTGTCCTCATAGATCTCCGTTGGAGTTATTCCCTTTGTCGGTTTATCAAGTTACTGGTGGGTTATTTTATCTAATCTGCAGGAAGGTGTGCACTTGCTACCCAAAGCGAGACAACCATTGGACATGTAGTTTATGGTATTTACATATGAAGGTTTACTAAATTTTGCCTTGTTTCTTCCCTCTACCTCCGTTGCATCATCGTGAGGATTAAAGCTGGTACACACGGCTCAGAGATCAACAGAAAACAGCCAACATTCAGCCAGCGTGTACAGTAGCCTGTATGACAGAAGTTGGCTTAACATCCGACATCTTTGGAAGGGGCATGCAGGAAAACCAGCAGCCGGATGAGCATTTGCAGCCAATGGCTGAGAGTGCCGACTGGTGTGTGCTGGGCATTCCTCCTGTCAGAACACAGAAGCTCAGTGGGGAGAACGCTGTACTAACATCCCATAGTACATTGATCTCCTCAGGTTTTTTTTTTTTTTCCGTTCAGACCGCTAGAATGGATGAAAAAAAAACTACCTGTGTGTACTAGACTTTACAGTTTTTCAATTAGCCCTCCTAAAAAGTAGAAACTTATACAAGAGTTTCAGTGCATTGAGGCTCCTTGTGTTTTTACTAAAAATGGTACAGCTGTGCATAGAAACCAATCAGCTTCTAGGTTTTATTGTCAAAGCTTAATTGAGCAAGCTGAAGTTGGAAGCTGATTAGTTACTTTGCACAGCTGCACCAGTTTGTGTTTTTAGTTTTAGTAAATCTCCCCAATTATGTTGGTGAGCAGATCTAGTGAGTCACAAGTATTTGCTACTGTTCTATACACCCTAGTGCACCCACCATGAGTGGTCAGCGTTTGACATGTTTTTGAATTGGAGTTAAATTACATAGGCACTTCTGAACCAGTATTTAAAAAAAAAAAAAAAAAAAAAAAACATTGCATCATCCACAAACCATATTCCCCAATCCGAGACTGGCAGTACAATTGACCTACCCACTTCTGCTTCAGACTACCACACCTTTCCTCCTGGAGGTACACTTAATGGGCTTCCCTCGTAGTGCCACTCTTCCAAGAAGTGCGGATGTAGGAACTCTCCCTCCATCTCATTTCCATAATATCCAATTTACTGGCCCAAAAGGTTCTTTTTGCTTCTGACAGATTTCTCCATTAATCAGTACTTTTAGTGGTGTAGTTATTAAAGGCCCACTGAGCTATTTGTTATGCAAAACTACATGTATATTAATTCCCTGTGAATATTGGCAAAATCAAATATTTTTTGGTCATTTTCTCTCCAGGGTGGATGTTTATGGAATAGCGTGAATCAAGGATATGCCCCATTATGGCCACTAGATGGGGCTGATTATCATAGGCAATAAATGATCCTGATTTTTTTTTTTTTTTTTTTGGTTATACACTGGTATTGATGGTAGTCATTAGCTTATGCAGGTTTGTAATCATTTTCTGTAATACGTTCTTTGCGCTCCTGGCTCCTCCCCATCGAGCAGTGCCTTCAGGGAAAGCCGCTTGCCCTGGGGGCACTGCTAGGTGCTCGCCCCCTAGCCGCTGCTCTATGCATCCATAAGACACAGCCGAGGCTTGGCCCAGCCTCCTGCTCTCTCCTCATTGGCCCACTAGCTGTGATTGACAGCAGATGGGCCATTGGGCTCCTGCTGCTGTCTCGGGCAATGAGGAGGAAGAGTCCCCAGACAGCAGAGGATGTCGAGAACATCGTTGGATCAGAGGGGGCTCAGGTAAGGATTGGGGGGGAGGGGGGCTGTTGCACACAGAAGGTGTTTTTTTGTTTGTTTTTTTTTGTTTTTAACCTTCATGCATAATTGCATGAAGGTAAAAAACCTTGAGCCCTTAGAACCACTTTAAGAATACTTTAGTTTGAAAAACATTTGATGGCAATTCCTTAATGTAGCATGTGGCTTTCATAAAACATGTTTATTAGTTTATGTGCACACATAAATTTAAATTGAGGATTATTATGGTAATATTGTAGTGACATTGAAAGATATACTGCAAGAAAATCATTTTGTTTAACTTTATTTTCTCTGTGCATGGCAATGTTTGTATCGCAGTGTCATAATTTTAATACAAACCATGCCATGTCTGCACTGTAATAATTTAGTAATAGTCATACCAAAACTTATTTCAGGTTACAGTAAACCATTTGAATCCCCTACCAGCTTCTTACATCTGTTGGGTCCTTTGGTAGTGAGAGCTCTGCAGTGAGGTCCCCCTATTGCTTTACACAAGACAGATTGGCAGGAGGAGAGAGATTTCTTTGTTGTAGTGGAAGGGACACTACACAGGGTGGAGACAAAGATAAAATTGCTGGCAAGGAGGACCAACCTTTGGACAGATTCTAAAAGCCAGTGGTTGATTTAATTCTGCCAGCTTCCACCCAAAAGTAAAATCTTAGTCTTAAATGGGCTTGCTACCTTGAAAGCTCTGCCAACCTACCCACCCAGAAGCAAAGTGACTTTGCTTATCTGGCTTTTAGCTTTATAGCAAAGCTACATTTGTGGTGTGTAAATATAAAAATATACTGTACGTTATAACCATCTTGGCTAATTTAGAAGTTGGCTTGTGCATTGTATTTCATGTCATTATAAAAATGTGCATATATGTATGAATGACTGGTTTTGCAGTGTACTGTCAGGTAATTGGCAAGAACATTAATTCATTCTACAAGGTAAAATGCAGAACAATGAAGGGATTGTATTCTGATAGCTGCATATTGAAACCACTGCTCTTTCTTCACTTTAATCTTATCCTCATCCTCTCTAGTTCCTTCTCCAGTTTGCCTTGGGTATTAATGATTTGTGGTAGATGTGGAATACGCCAGCATTTAAACATTAACCTCCAACTTACTTGTTGACACTCTAACATTCTCACCTGAATGCACGCTGTAGAAAATCCCTATATCTCAACCTCATTAGCTTGTGTAGAAAATGTCAGTGTGTTAGGGCAACTGACAGTTTGCCTCCATCAGTCACCTTGTTTGTATTTGTGTGCTTGGTGTCTGAAATGCTAGCTGGCTTTTAGTGAGGGTACGCCTTTTGATGTCCACTATGACCTCATTTGGCAGTACACACTAGATATCCTGAGAGGTTGCATGCACAAAAAAATTAATAGCTTTTAGCAAATTCAGCAAAGCCAATTGGTACTGCGAGCTGAGGTCATATCAATTTTTTTTTTTATTCTTTCACCTTGACTTGGAGCCAGCCGGCAGTCTTGATGACATGAGCACCCCCCAATCCCTTTACATTCCTTGTTGACTATATAGGTGAACACATGCTGCATCTATTGCATATGGAACCTTAAGATTGTGGACTCCCTTTTTTTTTTTTTTTTTTTTTTTTCTAATTTTTATTTCTCTTGTTCTGGCACTTCATTTTGTCATTCTAAATGTACAAGTGAAATAAATTTACTTCTGCCACATGGGCTTGCAGTCCTTAAACCCGGAGTGGTTTGGTTGTCCTGCATATGCCACTTTTTTCCTTGCTTTCTTATGTTTTGGTAACCTTACCCACATTGGTTACAGTAAGCTCATTTTTAATTTTCAGAAGGCTTATCAGGCCATTTTCTTGTGTTCCAACCATGTACTTCTTTGTATAATATTGGTTGCAAATGTTCAATGGGAAAAAAAACTATTTGCTTAAATAGGCAATATTTTTTATGTTTAAGCACGAGTTTGCAGTTTCAATAGCCTGCTAATAATAACCTGTAATGGGTAATTTGTACGATTTTTTTTTTTTTTTTTTTTTTTTTTTTTTAATTTATTTTTTTGTTACTGTTGATTTCCAGTGCTCCTGACATATTATATTTATTTTTATTTACACAGGGTGGATATGCAGCCTACCGATACACTCAACCAGCCACTGCTGCCACAGCTGCCACTGCCGCTGCTGCCGCCGCTGCTGCAGCCTACAGCGATGGGTATGACCAAGCTTGAAAGGACCAGATTACCATTTTGTTATGTTGCCAAATATCTCACATTTTTAAGTCATGGAAAAATATAAGTTTAGCAGGGGAGTACTCTACTTCATATTGATAGCCAAAGATGTCTATAAAATACCACGGTTTATTTTTTTTTTTTCTATAGAAAAATGTAGATTATATTAAGATTAGGAAGTGGCAGTGCCAAGTAAATGTATACTGTCAGTTTATAGGCTGGCCTGGTTTTACAGGCCTTTGGTGGTTTTTTGTTTTTTTTTTTTTCCCAACCTGTAAAAGCACCTTTTATATTAGCCTGTGTCCATGCGGACATAGACATTTACAGGCATATTAGAGTAGAGTTTACAGGCTAAAAAAAAAAAACCCCGTTCAGGAGAGCAGTTGAAGAGCAGAACAATTGCTAGATGCTTCTCAATGCATTTCAGTGACCAGAAGAAATTTTATGTTTTGGACTATGGATTGCATTAACGTTCAAGTGCCAGACACACAAACGCATGTGCAATACACTGCTTTGGGCGTATTTAAGCAGCTTTTTCCTGCCAAGAGTTCTGGTGTTCAGAGGGGCTAAAACAGACACCCAGTGTGCATGAGACCTAGGGAGTACTAAGTGATCAATTCACTTGTGAATTTTCCACCAAACATGACTTTTTTCTAACAGTGTTAAACATGGACCTACCATGGACACCACCTACTGAGTAATTTAACTAGCTCTTAGCAGATCTAATATGGTGGTGAGAGGGTGGGACTTTTGCCAGGTTTTTATTGCGGTCTGCTCCCATTCGGGATTACTGTTCGTCCCCAGAAATGAAATAGGGAATTCTTCCAATGGGGACACTTGTTCTGGTGTTTAAGAATGTTTGCTCACTTTTTTGAGATTTCCTCTGACTCGTCTAAGATGTTGTGTGTTTTGTTTTTTTTTTTAAATCGCCTATATGCCTCATTGGTGAGATTACCTTTCATTTCCTGATGAGTTTAAACCATTCTCTACTCCAAAATGCAAGGTTTGATTTAGGTGCATTTTGAAAAAGTATTCCAGGTATGGTTATTTTTGATCCAGCTTGGACCAATGTGACTATGCATATACTACACCTGTGGGATCCCTCTGGAAGCTGGAATCACGGTTTTAGGCCTTTACTACAGTGATCTTCACTAACTTCCGGGCCCTGTGCCAGGCGGTTCCCCTGCTGAATTTTTAACACAAAAGGTCAGCCGCTTAGCACAGGCTCCATTCAGAGATTTCTCAGACTTTGCTTAATGAATTCTCTGATTGGAAGAGGTGCAGATTGTGACATTACCACCCCAGCTCTCCACCTTGTCCACTCAGAAAATGAATTGAACAAATTCAAAGCAATCTCTGAATGGATCCTGTGCTAAGTGGGAAGAGCCTCTCTCTCTCGTAAGCTGTCCTGGAAGATGACCTGGGAAAATAGGGATTTGGAAAGAGCATCCAAACAATGTGTTCATTGTGTAGGCAGGTGCCACCACCAGGAAACTAAACCTAAGCAATGAACTGCCAGTAGAGTGCATGCATATAGACAGGAAGTGACTGCAAAATAAGGCTGGTGATCAGCAGCACTTAGAAGCAAAACCAGTGCTTTAGCAAACTCAACATCTAGTTTATATCTACTTTAAAGCTTGCTTCTAATTCATAAAGCAGGATCTGATTACTGCTTGCTAGTATAACCACTTGCCAGCCACCCGCCCGAATTATATGGCAGGTGGGTGGCTCGTACAGGCAGACTCGCGTATCTGTACGTCGGCAGTGGCTTTCCGGCTCAAGGAATCAATCAAGTGGTGGTTAAATGTAGGAAACCTTTTAAAGGGTCGCCCTTGGTCACAACTTCACCCGGTGAGAATTACGATGAATGCAAGTTCGTGGGGATGGGGAGCATTATGTATTAAGCAGTCCTAGAAGCCCTGATAGCTTTTGGTCGAGACAAAATGAAAATGCGTTCGGTATTAGAGTTTTTGCAAAGAGCCCTTTAAACCACTGGTAGACTGCTCCATTAACATATTAATCCAAAGACACTTCTCCTAGTGGCTCTAGTTTCAGCAAGGAGAATTGGTTAAATTCAGGCACTGTCCATAGCGGAGCCATTTTGTGTTGAACTTCAATACAAGATAATTCTTTCAACCTTCTTTCTAAAAGTAGCATCAGATAGAAGATGTTATTCCTTTATTTTTTGGGAACTCTTAAGGATGAGAGAACCAGAATTTAATGAGATGGATGTCTAATAGCCAATATTGGGTGCACGCTAGGGTGAAGATTCGCATCCTAGTTTTTTTTTTTTCTATTTTCTGTGTCTAACAAAGGCAGGAGAGCCTCAAAAATACTGTTGCAAGGTAGATGAAATCCACAATGATAGAAGCATATCTGCTATCTTCTCTGACTCCTCCTTTGAATATCAAGGTCCATTCTACCAGGACAGTGTCTACTTTCTGGGCAGAAAGAGCCTGAGCCTCACCACTCCTTACCTGCAAAGCATCAACCTGGTCCAGCTTCCAAACCTTTGAAGCATTACCGGTAACAACTGCCTTCTAGCCAAGAAGCCTTTGGGTGGTAGGTTATTCAAGCAGTGGTTCCACCCTAATCAGGTAGTTCTATTTTGTTCTCTTGTATGCCATCCTGGAAGATGACTCGGAAAAAGTTACCTGTTAACTCACTTTCCATGAATCCTCCAGGATGGAGCCAGTTTCTGCCCTGCCTTATTGTATATTTATTGTAGTAAGTTGTCACCATACCTACAGTTATTTGTTATGACCGAGGGTCTCTATGCTGTAGCTTCTTTTTATAATGCGTCTCCTGTGCTAGTTAGGAGGAGTCTCCCTCACTCACTCTCTCGTGAGTTAACTGGTAATAACTGTTTTCGCATGCAGGCCCTGCTATGCAACCTACTGTAATGTCTGCTTGTGAGATCTTAGGAGAGTGGACCTGAATGATGAAGGATCCACCTATAGTCCTTGCTGACACTGAAGCGTGCTTAGAGCTTTTGACTTTAGCCCTATGTTTTTATGTTAATGATCTGATAATCGGTTTGAGCTCTTAAATGAGTCACTTGTCAACATACGGAGATCTGTGGCTAAAATGTTGGTCTTGGAACAGTAGTTTTACATAGTTACATTACCATTACAGTTGGTAGGGTTAAATTGGTTGTGAAGGCTCAAGGTTTTTTACCTTTATGCATTCTTAGCATGAAGGTAAAAAAACCTGTGTGCAGCAGCCACCTACAATTTACCTGAGCTCATCTCGATCCAGCAATGTGCACAAGAGCCTTGGCTTCCCCAGGTCTCTCCCCCTCATTGACTGATACAGCAGCGGTGGCCATTGGCTCCAGCTACTGTCAATCACAGCCAGTGAGCCAATGAGGAGAGACCGGGGGGGAGGGGCACACAGAGCAGCAGCCCTGGAGCGAGCCTGTTGGGGTGTCCCCATAGCAAGCTGCTTGATATGGGGGCACTAGACAGGAGGGGAGGGGCCAGGAGCACCAGCGGGGGACCTGAGAAGAGGAGGATTGGGGCTGTACTGTGCAAAGCAAGAGAGCAGGTAAGTATGACATGTTTGTTTTTAAAGAAGAAAAAAAATCTGCCTTTTTAATATCAGTTTAAATAAAGGTCTATCCAGTTCAGTGTGAGTGTTTTTGTCCCTTCCATTTTCCATATAAAGTTTTAATTTATTTACACTCCCCATGACACCACTGACTGTGGAAAGGAGTTCTACACCCTGACAGCTAACAGTAAGGAACCCCTTATGCAGTTTAGGATTGAACAACTTTTCATCCAACTTCAGTGCATGGCTGCATGTCTTCTTTAGAGAACTTAGGTTAATTATTTTGAGTCCCCATTTACAAGTAAAGATGTAAATATTGCATTCATTATCCTCTTAAGTGCCTCAACTGGTAAAACCTTTTTTGGTGCTTTGCTGGATAATTTTAAGGTTATCACTGCTGGTAAGAGTCATCACTGGCAGAAGAAGTCTAAACCCCTGAGGATTCTTTTGTTTCTCCCAGGCTCCTCACTCCAAAGCCAATCCTAAGGGAAGGCCCAGTACCACTGCAAACTTTGAGCCTCTAGATCTTGCAAGCCTGCAGGCAAGCTCTTCAGGATGAAGACACCCACACCTCAAAGTGGGTATGTCTTTCTGCCTTTGTGGACAGCTGGTCAGAAAGCAACTCAGATGTAAGCGTACATCGTGTCCTGGGGCTACAAGCTAGAAATCTGCTCTCTGACACAACCCCCCCCCCCCTCCATGTTGTGCAACCTATCAGCCTCTCCCCAACTGTTGTCAAACCTCCATTCTGCACTTTTAGACCGTTTGAACCAAGGAGTTGTTGCAATTGTTCCATTGGAGGAAAGCCAACTTTTTGACTGTTCCAAAAGGTACATTCACTCATGTTCTGAACAGGTCTGAACAAACAAGTTTGAAATGCCTTCATTTGATTTCTATGTTTGCCATAGCCTCCCTGTGTTAGGGGGACTTCCTGTTCTTGGTGACATCATGCATGCATGTTGGCATCTCTCCAGCACATAAACATGTTATCTGTTTTTGCAGATACAGGACATGACACTTCTGGTTTATAACCCTATCATTTGGCCTATCATCTGCTCCTCAAGTGATCACCGGAGTTCTAGCCCCAGTGTTGGCTTCGTTGTTCTTCCAGGTTATTCCCATTGTTGAATGCATCAATGAGCTTCTGTTGAGAAGTCTCACCCCAAACTGTCAATGTGTTGAAGACAGGCCAGGCCCTAAAAAGCTTTGTTTGGGTTCTGAGTCTTAAGAAATCAGTGCTGGAATCTACACACTATTTGTAATATCTGGGTAATTTTATCGCCAGACTAAGCCACAGGTTTTTTTGGGGGTTTTTTTTCCCCCGTAAATTGACTCTCTGCTTCAATACTTAGATGCTACAATCCATGAACTGTCCCACTCTGATTTTGCAGAAGTTTTCTGGGTTTGATGGTCTCATTTGCTTATTTCTGCTCCAGACCCCTACAACACAACATTGTCTGCTTGGGGCAAGAGTGCAATCTCTTGACAAATCCATAGTCTGACACTGCAGATCAGGTTATCTCTGGCCTGGTAGCTCAGAATCCAGCTCTGAAGTTTGGAAAAACCTTCTAGGATGGTATTGAGGCCTAGAGGCTATTGGTGTAGGACATTTTACCTTTACTATCTGGAAGGTAGTTCATACTTTAGTAGTTTATGCTGTACAAGTTTCTCTCTCAACCACTGGTTTATTAGACAATCCCTAGTAGTCCAAGTAAAGTGGAACCAGCTTCTTGCTCTACACCCCCCCCCCCCCTTCTCAGTAGCTGAGACAGCTTGTCTAAGGTTATGGTCCGGAGGACACGATTCCACCTTTTCTTCCTAGTAAGGCGCACACTGCTAGACTGGTGCATGCTTCTTGGTCTTTTTGGGCACCCATCAACGGTGTCCAGATCTGTAAGGCTGCCTACCTGTTCACACATTTTCCAAGTTATACCAGATGTAAGTCTCCTGCTGCTTCTCCTAAGTCCCTTCAAGTAGCTGCAGGCTGGCCCTTTTTTTTCTTCTGTTTTGTGGCCCTATTAGCATTTTGTTTGCTGAGTTGCTCACCCCTTAAGGCTGGTTCACACGACAATTTTGGCATTTCAGATGCGTTTCTGCATGCACACTTTTGATGCATTCCAGTGTGGGTTTTGTTCCGCTTTTTTTAAAATCTAAATTAGGACATATGTATTGTGGTTTGTTTCATTCCATACAGAAAAATGCAACATGTTCTACTTTTGTTGACTGTACTGGAATGCACTGGTATGAAATAGGGCCATTGGAATCCATGTTAAACACTATCCAGTGTGTTTGATGCAGGATAAAAATGCACTGGATTGCATCTGGTGTGAACCAGCCCTCCGGTAGTCTGCTTTTTGCAGTTGTCTCCGATTAACTGAATCCTGTGTCCTTGATAAATGATAAAGAAAACCGTTTTTTTTACTTACCATAAAATCTGTTCTTGAAGTTTTAAGAGACACCGGTCCTGCCTCTCTGTTTGTACTGTTTTTCTGCAAAACTGTAGCCTGCTAAGAGTGGGATGAGTTATACCAGAGTGGCCAACGGCTTTGTTTGCCATGTCCAAATCCTTCTTTAGGCAGCAGTATAACCCCATTGTGTAGGCTTACCTGAATCTTGTGCCCATTAATGAACTTGGGATTTGTTTTTTAGCAAGTTCAGCAATCCTATGTTGTTGCACTTATCAAATGGAGAACTAAAGTTTCAATGGCAGAATTAACAGACCAAAGGATGTAAATAAGAGAAGCTTGTTAAAGTTTACGTTCACTGTAGAGGTAAAATACTTTGAAGAACAAAATAGGTCTTCACATTTAGTTGTATGTATAACCAGCTGCTTCTCCTATGTGCAACAGAGTTAAAACTCCAGTTTATCAAACCAAAACTTTACCAGTTTTCGCCTCATGCTACCAGTAGTGACACTGACCCTACCTAGCCAAATGCAAAACTAGTGAAAAACAGTCGGAAAAGATGAGTAGGGAAAAAATGTTTTGGTGTAATCTCATTGTTGCCCATCTAGTGCACCTGTTTATTTCATTAACACCAAAGCAGCTGAAACTACTTAACTACGCCTTCTGCTACTTAACTGACCAGATCAATATCCCAGGAGTTTTATTGACTTGAGGCTATACTCTGATTAAAAAGTGTTCCTTTAATTTTTTTGAGCAGTGTGTGTGTGTGTGTGTGTGTATGTATGTATATATGTATGTATGTGTGTGTATGTATTACTGTATTGCCAAATGTATTGGGAGACCCCTCCAAATCATTGAATTCAGGTTTTCCAATTACCTCCATGGCCACAGGTGTATAAAATAAAGCACCTAGGCATGCAGACTGCGTCTGCAAACATTTGTGAAAGAATGGGTTTCTCTCAAGAGCTCAGTGAATTCAAACGTGATACCGTGATGGGTTGCCACCTGGGCAATAGGTCCATCTGTGAAATTTCCTTGCTACTAAATATTTCATGGTCAACTGTTAGAGGTATTATACCACAGTGGAAGCAACTGGAAACAGAAACTCAGCTACGAAATGATAGGCCACGTAAAATGACAGAGCGGGGTCAGCACATGCTGAAGTGCACAGAAGTCGCCGACTGACTGCAGAGTCAGTAGCTAAGGACCTCCAAACTTCATGTGGCCTTCAGATTGGCACTACAACAGTGCATAGAGAGCTTCATGGAATGGGTTTCCATGGCCAAGTAGCTGCATCCAAGCCTTTATATAACCAAGTGCAAGGCGCAGGATTCAGTGGTGGAAAACACTCCACTACTGGACTCGAGCAGTGGTGACGCATTCTCTAGAGTGACCAATCACGCTTCGCTGTCTGGCAATTCAATGGACATGTCTGGGTTTATCAGGGGAACGATACTTTCCTGACTGCATTGTGCCTAGTGTAAAGTTTGCTGGAGGGGGATTATGGTATGGGGTTGTTTTTCAGGGGTTGGGCTTGGCCCCGGCCCCTTAGTTCCAGTGAAGGGAGCTCTTAAGGTGTCCGCATACCAAGACACTTTTGGACAATTTCATGCTCCCAACTTTGTGGAAACAGTTTGGGGATGACCCCTTCGTGTTCCAACCTTACTGCGCACCAGTGCACAAAGCAAGGTCCATAAGAACATGGATGAGTGAGTTTGGGGTAGAGGAACTTGACTGGCCTTCAGAGTCCTGACCTCAAGCTGATAGAACACCTTTGGGATTAATGCAAGACAGGGCTTCTCATCTAAAATTACTGTCTGACCTCACAAATACGCTTCTGGAAGAATGGTCAAAAATTCCCATACACACTCATAAACCTTGTGGAAAACCTTCCCAGAAGAGTTGAAGCTGTTACAGCTGTAGAGGGTGGACCAACTGAATATTGAACCCTACATACTAAGACTGGGGTGCCATTAAAGTTCATGTGTGTGTAAAGACAGGTGTCCCAATACTTTTGGCAATATAGTGTATATCTAACCCTTCTATCACCTAGATCTTTTTATATGTAATTTTTTTTTATTCAATCCACTTGGTTAATTTTCTTTTCTGTTTCCCTGCCCAGTTCAGTGATCTCACCTTTATATCTTCCCCTATATATATTTACAAATTTAATTGGTCTTTTAAAGAAAAACCCAACATCATTTTCAATGTCAGTGGAATGGCAGAATACCCAAAATAAACCATGGCTTCCAAAACATCTCAACATGCATTTTAGACTATGGTGTAAATGAATTACCTATATTGCTAACCAGTTTCCTATAGTTAACTTTTTTATAATAGTTGGCTTTTAGTAAGTCAATTAGGATTCTATTCTGTTTATTTAGCTACAGTTTGTGTTGAAATACTTAAGTCTGTTAGAATCTATTGATAGCTGTTGGTCTAGCTGCGAAATATGTTGGCTGGTTGCACCCACCATTAACTGAAAACAGATTGTGTTACTCTTACTGTTCTGCATATGGTGTTACTATTGTGGTGTACTTCTGCAGTCATACAGATCCCTTCTGTGCCCTCTAAGATTGCATGTTTCTCTCAACAGATACGGAAGGGTATATACAGCTGACCCATATCATGCCTTGGCCCCTGCTACCAGTTACGGAGTGGGAGCTGTGGTAAGTAATAGGCTCTTTTCAAACATGCTGTAATATCAGATTGGCATGAAGTGGGTATTTAAACATGCTTTACTATATTGTCTTTATGTATTTGTTCAATCTGGTGATGTATTTGTGTTCATGTAATTGTACTGGTGGGTTATTGTCTATGCTGCTAGGCTGATCCCAAATTCTGTCCAGTTTCAGTGGTAATTTGAAAGGGTTGAGAGAAGGGATTCTTGCTAATACATGAAAAATGTAGAAATGGCATACCCCTAGAAACCATGTAAATTACGTAATACACATAATGCTTTGCATAATATACAGTGTCTCCCTCTGTCATCATTTTCAAATATTTCAGTGCTTGAAGTATTACAGGTCCTGCATTTTTACACAAGAAGAAATCTGGATATACAGTGAAATTTCTATTTTGGGCAGAAGGTTCAGAATACAGTACTACCAAAGGCTGAATTTGTTACATTTTAACAATTGCTATTCACCAAAGTAACTTTTAGTGCCAGTAGTGATTTCAGAGTGAAGTCAAATTGTATAAAATATCTATTACAGTAGTAGATTGCATGTGAATTATAGTTTAATGTATGAAGACTAAAGTCGTTCATGTGGATAGAGCATGTGTAGCTGATTCACTTTTTTTTATTTTTCTTTAACTTTTTATTTATTCATACCAAATGCTATCAATTTTTTCTGTTGATGGGTAAAGGTTGAAAACCAAATCATACTTCTTTAAAAGATACTTTAAAGATAGTGTAATTCATACAGTTTCAGTAATTTTTTGCACTGCTTACGTTCAATATAATTTTTAATGTGACTTTTGCATTTTACTTTTTTTTTTTTTTTTTAGATTTGTTAAATTTAGAGATTAGCATATTAAGCACCATATCACACTGGAGTCACTGCAGCCTCCCTGCTCAACTGTTAAAATTGTTATTCTTATGGGGGCCCGCATCGTCAGTGGGTTGAAAAAATCCATAAACTTTTATTTTGTGAAGGGAGGAATAGAACGACCATTGAATAGCACTACAAAGCAGGAAGCATTTAATACTCATTGATGACATTTAAATCAAGCTTATATTTTACATTTATACCCCTCTCAGAAAAAGTTACTTTAGTTTAACTTTCTAGAATTTTTAGGCAGTTAAGCACGGTTATGGAAAAAAGGTTATGTACAGTAGTTGACAACGTTGTATTAAGAATTTTATACGTGGTTTTTTTTTTTCAACCTATAATTTTACTTACTTTGCTTCCATTTTTACTTGTAAGCGCTTCTACTGTACCACATTAAATAGCTTCCTTTTACCTATATAAACCTTGGTGACAATATATGTTCTCACCTGTACTAGGCTACCTATGTTCTGGTGCCTTCCCATAAGCCCAAAAACATATTGTTAATATAGTTGGCTTCCTGCCAGATTGCTGCTTGTGTGCTTATTAATGTCTTGTGGATAGGAACTGATATGAATAGAAATATGTACTCTGAAGCAGTACATAATATATCGCCACTGTATAAATCTTCATATATTAGTGAGTGCAGTTATGACATACAGTACTGTAGAGATTTCTTGAAGTGATATAAGTGGATCAATGTGTGAACAGGAATACCTTGTATGTGCACTTACACCACTTAGTAGTATAGTATTGCATAGTTGTAAATATGCCTTAAATCAAAAACTCTATTTACCAAACAAGATCATATGAATGATTTTCTTTAAAAAAAAAAATAACAACCAAAACTTATAAAAGCATTAATGATTCAGCCATATTGAGCTTCTGCAAGACTCACTATTCAATCTTAGATTATAACTATGCAGGCTAATGTATGGAAAGATTTAGATTTTCCCTATTTTTTACTTTTAGCCTGAATCTTAGCCTTAATGTTGGAGTTAGAGGCTAGAGTCAGGGCTACTTCAGTAGCTTTGTTTTTTTTAGGGTTAGAAAGCCAACATATTTTTTTTTTCTTTTTAACCTATCCTTTTAGGCATTTTCTTGTTTACTTGAACAAGCTGGATGTGCACAGGGATTTTGAATTACTTTGTGAAAGCAAAAAATACTTTCAAAACTTTTAAGCGATATCTGTGGGAAATTTTTAGGAAGACAGCTGTAGACTAGTAGCTGTCATTTTCTGGTTTATTCAGTCCTAAAGATATGGCTATCTTCCTGACTTTGCATTCAAAACATAACATATAAAGGTATGTCATTGTAATCCTGGTCCCAGTGGTTTTACATTCACTTCTAAATCCCTTTAGGATTTTTTGCAAAAATTCCTTTTAAAGCCTTGTTTGCATGGACATGCGAAGGCCCGTGTTTGTTGTTCTGTGTTCCATGCATTCTCCATGTAGGCAGTCCCATTCATGTCAATTGGAATGCAGCCTCTGTTCCCAACTTGACAGCTTTGTGAGTGGACTGCCCTGAACGCACACGATTCGTGCAGCTGCTGCATCCCAGTTGACATGAATTGGACTGCCGGCACGGGGATGCATGGAAAACCTCTGCAGGCAAACTTGGCCCTTCGTATGCTATAGTACGCCCATGTGAAAGGCCTTAGATTAGTTAATACAGCAATAAAATAGTATGAGTAAATCCATTGGTATACTTTTTCAAAAGTTATTGTAATTGGTGGAAGATTAGGATAAGTAATGTCTGGGTAGTGGTTACAGCAGAAGTATGACTGTCATGTTGGAGTGGATGAATGTGGCTGTAAGCATTTACATTCAGTTGATGGATTCATGGTATAAATAACAATCAACCTTGTCATCTTGTTAGCTGGAGCTGCCATCTTGCATTTATCCAGTACAGACTGGTCTTTCTAGGCTTTCATTTCACCTAGATAGTATTTGCTTGATACACAGCAGCAGAAACTGTTTTAATTATTTTGGCCTTGTTCACACAGTCTTCAGTCTGAGAGTTTAAGTGTTGTGTACAGCAAGCTTTTATAAAACATTTGCAGATCTTTTGGCAAGCTTCTTTGAAGCCTTTAAAGTAACTCCAGGTAAACACATAAGCTATGACTGTCTTGGTCTCGTTCACATAGGTGGCTGGCAGGGTAAAACAGGCAACTGAGTAGAGGACCTGCAGCTGCTCAGGTCTGTACCGCCCCTGTACTGGCCCATTCATGTGAATTGGCCAGTACAGCAGTTAAAGCAGGCAATATATCACCTTCAGCTGCCTGTCAACTGCCCTCTGAAATCGATCCATTGCAGATCACTTTTTAGATGGGGACAAGGGCTGCCACCTGTCTGAACAGGACCTTAAACAAGCTGCAAGCAGGCTTCAGTAGGATTCAGCACTACATAAGGCTTGTTTCAAAGCCTGCTGAAGACTAACAGGCTGATGAAAGTGACTGTTAGCACTCCCATTAGGATCTGTGTTGACTATTCCCTTAATGAGACTAAAACATTCTTATAGGGTTTGTTTTGTTCCCTGAAGAGCAATCTGCTTTTGGCTCGCTCTTCAAAGAGCATTTGACAGGCAGTGAGGAGGCATTGTATTGCCTCTCACCACCTCCTTTAAAGGATAAGTTCACCTTTTAAAAAAAATAAATGCACTTTTTTTTTTTTGCAGGTAAAATAAAATTCATTTATTTTGTTTTTGGAGCCTCTAAAGCATTGCACCAGTGATCAGTTGAGAAGATCCTCCGCTAGCGGTCACAACAAGGATCCGGGGGGATGCGGAGGCCGGTTCATTCTTAACATGTCACATGTTACACCCCGAATGAGGTTGTAACATGTTACGAAAGGTGAAATTAACCTTTAAACCCCTTGAGCTCCACACTAACTTACCACAACTGCATGCATTGCATGCTGTTGCAGGGTGATTGCAGAGCAGCCTCATTCATTTGAATGGGTAGCACCTGGCTACCCATTCAATAGTATTTCTGTCATGAAACGGAGCTGCACCATGTGTACACCCCCGACCGCTGCTTCTGCAACTCAACCAAGTGATTTTACCACCCTGCAACCACTAGTATGAACGAGCCCTTAATGCTTTATTAAAGCAGCTATGTAAAAGCTTGCTGTACCACAATTTTCATATAAAAGCTGAAGCCTATGTGAACAAGGTCTTACTATTTTTCTTTCATCTTATCAATTGAGGAATGTGAAAAAGAAAAGTTTTAGTAGAAATCCCATCTAATTTTTTTCTTATCCTCAAAGTGTGGTGTCCCTGTTTGTTCACTGTGCTTCTTCTTGAATCCTAGGTTACTGCAGTAACTGGAGGATGGAGTGTATATACACACACATGTATACTTTGTAATGCTTTATAAACTTTATTTACCTTCCCTTATGCTTATCTGCTCACTGTTTGCCCTTTTCATTGCCCTACACACAAAATGAGAAAACGCAGCATGGTTTCCTACCCCCCTTCCTTCCACATTGTCAGCCTCTGCCAAGTTGACTGGCTGTTGTATATTGGTTAGAATAGACTGTTTCTGTGACTTTTCACCTATTGCATGGAAAGTGGATAGTTCTTGCTTTAAGATTCCAAGTTAAAATATAAACATTTGTAGATATTTTTACTATTCAATGTTAGACATTAGATGTTCACAGTGGGCAAAGGGTCCTATTTCCTATATTCCACCTATGCTACTTTCTAGATATTCCCAGGAGAGTGTCTCTGTGGAGGCCCACTCAGATTTCACTTTAGCGGGACCTAACGTTTGCACTTTTTTTTTTGAGGAGCAATTTACATGCATTTCTGCATGACAGGCATAGTGCAGCCCATTCTCTTAATTGGTTTTGCCCTATACACATTTGTGCTACATGCGTTTTTTGTTTTTTTTTTTAAACGTGTGTTTTGCCACGATTGCAATGCAATTCTCTTGCATGACCTACACAGAAAAATTGCACCATGATTGGGATACCATTAAAAATAATGGGAACCAAAAATACATAATGTGTCTTGCGCACCAAATTCCAAATCAACAAATGTCAACAGAGCCTCCATGTGTGCAGCAGTTTTTACCATCTTTGAGGTTACCAGATTTTTAAAATGAAATCCTGGGACACCCTACTGACCACATCATCAAAACCGCACCCTCA